AAAGAGGTGTTGCAGGTCATCCCCTCTCAGGTCCTTATAAATATGGCTGCCGTGTTTGTATGATGTTGTGCAGGCATTAGCAATTTCATGTGAATGGTATGTCATTTTGACCGAGTTGTCCTTCATATGTCTCCATCAATAAATGTGATAACAGATGTTTGCGAGAAAACAAAACAGCTTTATAACTAAGATATTAAATAAAATTTTCTTGGAATGTTTTAACTGTGTTGGTGCGTTGCATATAGAGTGAATTCTGGGTAAAGTCCAACCATCCTTCATTTTCAAAATCCATTATTCATTATCCTGTTCACGTTTGAAGCCAGTAACTTGCTGGTGTAAAATGAAGTTGACAACCATGCCTTTAATAACACAATAGTGCAAATGAGAGTAGCTCTTGTTCCATAGCACATCTTCTTTGCATCAGGGTCTTATGCTTTATGACCTTTCATATCAACAAGGTCATTCTTTACCTGAGAACCAGGTTCTTCTAGATGTGTAACACCAGAATCAGCAGCACCAGGCTCTGTTTCAGGGATCAGGTTCATCTGGGCTGGATTTACTAGGCTCCCTAGTGCAAGATAACCTGACACGTATTGATGCTGTCCTGCTCCGCACACCTGCCGCTGCCATTCAAGCCAGAGACCAAGAGTTAGTCAGCAGTAATGGAAGGAGTAACACAATACTATAGAGTATCATGTCCTAAAACCCATGCATGTATGTTATCGTGACAAAGCAAACAACTAGTTGTATTACCTAATCATATGTCTCATTCTTTGTGCTGTCATTGTGAGTTGCTTAATTTGTGGAGCTGCACAATGGAAACAAGTGATTGAGCTCAAAATGAGGAAATGCCTGAATATATCAGAACATATTTCAGGTTCTGTTTTTACAGTGGCTTTAACCTTCATACCAGTGAAGTAATATAAATACATTTTGTTTTCATCTATATTTTTCATAAATTAATGGTTCATTCAAATGTGAAAAATATTGCAATTTTTTACTCATTTCACTAAATGTCAGTGAGACAAACAGTGACTACTTACCTCCTAGCACAGCTCAGTTTCAGCTGTTTTCAAAACAGTATAAGTATAAAAAACAGGGGTGGGGTTGGGGGGGGGGCACACAAAATGACTCAACAGCTTGTGGAGCACGGGGGCACACAAAATGACTCTTAACAGCTTGTGCAGCACAATTCAAATGTTCCAAAGCCAAAGTGTTGTGGTTTGGATTCAAGAGTCAAATGTTTTCTTGATAATTTGTAGTTTTTCCAGACTTTTCTGCACAGTGCCAACAGTAGCAAACAGATGTTGCCTCCAAAGCTTTAGGACAAATAACAGTAGATACACTAAATGGTAAGCACAACATGCCAAGAAATTACACGTCCATTAAGTTTTCAGTTGCACATTCTGCTATTAGATAATATACTTTTATTTCATTGTCTATTTTTGTTATTTTTATTTAAAAATGCTGGACTTTCTGGATGCAGTGTTAGGCTTCTGATCACAATACAAAATTCTCATTTAGAGGCAAAGATCTACTCATAATATCCATATTCAATTTTGATTCATCTGGTAATTTGGTACATTTTTAATTACTGCTTTAGCGAATTGTTCTTTTGTCAGAAGGCACAGAAGTATTTGATGCTTGTTATTAGGCGTAGGCAGAATGTATGCACACTTTGTTATTTGCAATCACAATGTCAATTTATGAAAATGAAATAATAATTTTTTTTGGAAATACGGTTGAGAGATTGTTAATAGAAAAATTAGGCAAATGCCTGCTTTTTTTCTAGTTCAGCAAACTGACAATACAATATACTTTATCACACCGATGGAAAAATATTTACTAGTAAAGCCACAAAGTAGTGCTGATTGTTGATTTAATACACCTAGAGATGTTCATGGAACAGTTGCCAAAGTATGGTGGACAATTTACTCATTATAGTCCATGTCATTATATTCATTATAATGACAAATTTGCCACCTCAAATTGCCCTGAGAAAGACAGAGGGCAGTTCCGTGTGGATCAGTTGACCCAGTGTCTGATCTGTAAGTAAATTCCTCTGCCCTGCTGAAACTGACACTCATGCAGAGGAGGATGATGTAAGTGCCTGTTCAGGGCAGGGAAGATAACATAACAAACTTATTACTGATCACTGTAAAGTGGGAAACAGCAATCTCATCTTGTAGGTTACCAGACACCTCCCAAAACAAGGGCAAGGGACACATTAAATATTTACATTTGATGACCAACAGAAAAAAAGGCTTCCAGTGTGAGCCGAGAACATTTGCAAGTTATCTCTCTGGAACATGACAAAACACGTTTTCATATGAAAAGCTTAAAAGTACAATTAAATGAGAATGGTCTTTAATTTGGCTGCTTACCCCTCACTCTCCAGTGTAAATGCAGAGAGAAGCTTGAGGAAGAAGGCAGAGAAAAGTAATTTGTGCATCAACTGGCAGTTAATTTGGAAGAAGAAGTCCAGTCTGGTGGCTTTCATCTGGACCCCATCAGGTTTCTAGACCCCAGGCAGGCAGACTGGCATCTCTGTACCAGGTGTGTTCCTTTAATAAAGCCTTGGCCTCCTCTGACCAAGCACATACAGTACAGGCCCCAGGGAACACAAAGACCCACACATGGTTCAGTTTGGTTGTTTGTGAGTTGTGTGTTTGATTTCTTCATAGACCACATATGGATTTGAGCTTAAGTATCTCAGAGTGAGGTACTTTTCTTCATAAAACATCTGCTTAATGATAGTGTACCAAAAGGGAGGAGCCAATCACAGTGAGGCCAAACAAAATCAGAGACACATGACTTGAGTAAGGTGAGTTTCCACAGTTCAGCTTGCTAATGTGATATAGCATGTTTAACACAGAGAACAACAGATTGTATGGTACTGAGTGCTGGATACACCTGCTGCCACATGGCTCAGGATTAAACAAACTCAGGAGGCCAACATGGAACTTTAGAAAAAGACCAAAATTTAGATATGGATCCACTTAGAAAGTTACAAGTAAATGAAAGTTACAGATGTGAAATTCTGCTTCCAAAATGTCTCCTGTGTTACAATAAATGCAAAGTTTCAGTAACAATCCAAGATGTGCATTTAAAAAGTTCTGACTTTGGTTAATATATTCACTGACTCATCCCAGTGCATGAAAGCTGTGTAATTGTTTCTACCCTAAAAATGTGGGCTCAGGCAGGTCTTTATCAAGAAATTAAAATCACAACACAGGAAATGATGCATTTTATGCTGGCGGGGTAATAGCATTTTAAAAAGAGCAAACCGCATGAACAACAATGTCATCATGGTTTGGAGGGAACAGGAAGTAATGTCAAAGAAACTCAGGTGTCATCAGAAGAAATCACTTTGTTCTCTGAAAGATCGTATGTCTGCTGTCAAAGTAAAAATGGATATAAAGAAGTTGTAAACCTTGATTATAGTTAAAGAAATCTACATTCAAATTTAGACTGAATATTGCACAGTGCACAAATACATTGCCATTTTGTTTAGATTGATCACTTT